AGTATTAATCAGAATGAATTCCCTCCTTAACAATAAAGGCGCTTAGGTCTACAATCAATGTGCTAAAGGCGACAACTGTTCACCGCACCACACAAGTCAACGAGCTACCCTAGCAACACCCAATGCAACTAAAAGTACTTAGGAATGCGACGCGAGCGACAACTGAGAGGACAGCTTGTCGCAACCGCTAAGCGATTAGTCTCAGCGCCTCCATGTGTACCCTCGTCATCCGGGCAGTTGATTAGGGCGGTCGTCAACGGGCCGCAGCGCGTGCCAGGAACTATTTGCTTTTTCCAGGCTAATTTAGTCATTTTTCCAACTTTCTTCACAAGGTGGAAAAAATGACTAAATTAGCCTGGAAAAAGCAAATAGTTCCTGGCACGCGCTGCGGCCCGTTGACGACCGCCCTAATCAACTGCCCGGATGACGAGGGTAACTTTTAGGCGAAAAAGCGCTTCGTTTTGGTGGGACGTCGTACGACGCCGCGAGAATCCACTGTTGAGGTAGGTAGGTATTCGTCGGTGTTCGTCCATCCGTTTGTATAAAGGTCGTCCTGTCTCACCAACATACTTTTGATTACATCCTTCGCATGTGACCAAATAAACTACTCTCGTAACTGACAGATTTTATTCTCTGTACGTACAATACGTACAGTTGCTTCGGCCATATTTCCCTTCGTATATCCGAGATGATGTCATGATGCATCTTAGGATTTTCTGGTGGTCGGAATATAAGTGATCGGAATACAGGGGATCGGAAGGCGAGGCACACGATGTAGGGCAGGTCATCCACCCATTCATGGTGTTACTGTCCACTTGGCCAGCTCGACAAGGCGTCCTTCCTGAAAACTTTTCCAGAAAATGCTCACTACCGCGAGGAACCTACCTGGCTGCGAAAACTAGTGCAAAAATGCAGTGTTGTGGAAAAGAATACATCTGCTGCCGCATGATAACGCGGAACCTCAAACAGCAACATTGATAGCCTTAAAGGGTTGCAGTTCTTCTTAACCCTCCGGAAATTTAATCCTTCTCATTTTGCGACCCATCTAGCCATCTCGAAGAACGCTGCAATATTCCGTCTCACAGCCTCGCTGCTTCTTTGAGCGTAGGATTGAATCCCTGCTTGCATACTGACAGAGGCTGATATATATCAAGAATGATGATGTGATCATTCTTGATATATATCCCCGCCCGTATTTGATTACAGCAGGGTTCGCTGGTTACCACAACGCTGGGAAGAAGAAATTCCCTTTAAGGAAGAGGGAAAGAAACTCCACCACATACACAGTCTCACCACCCTACTGGATTGCGCGACCGGTTCTGCCCTTTCTGGAGGATCTAGCCACTTGCGCTTCATCTAGAGGAGGGAGTGATTCATCTAGAGACACCTACTCCATATCCAGTTACAGCGCTGTTCAACCAGTCCGTACAGCGGAAGCGGGAGAGAAGTTGTAGACAGTACCCACATGTGCTCCCCTTGGAGTATCGGTCAACTCATGAGAAAAATTTTGACCGAACTTCAAACTTTTTTAAGGGAGCGAGGCCCTCTCTCATTTGTGCTTTTGGACCAGTCAAGTGTAAGGACTAGATAGCAAGTTGATTTGTACGAATTGGTTTTAATCAAGGAACACAGTAGGTCCAAATCCAAGGCAGGTGGCCTCCCTGGACGAAGTTTTCTCCCAGGTAGAAGTCACATAAGCGAAAGCGATCGGGCCATTTCAACGCCGTACCATGAAAGGTAGCATCAGGACCTAACTCAGAGAAATGCCGCTTGTGGCTCCAACCACGTTGTGGCTTGGTGGAGATTCATATAGCGAAGTGTGTCGAAAATGATGAATTTCAATTACCGTTTTGGATATGAGAACAGCGACTGCGAGGGACGGTAAAGAAGCTGTGGGATGGATGCTTACACACTTCCCATAGACCACATAACTGGATCTCGAAATGGCTACGACATCTGATACGGGATTCGAAACATGGGTCATGGGTCTACGTAATATAACCTGTTCCCCCTAGAATTTCTGAAACTCTACCGAAAGAATTCTACGCGTCACTCTCCTATTGAGTGAAATCAGGGCGAGACCTGATTTTTTTTTTGATTATTTTCCCCACCAACGGCAGCTTGCTGTGCGAGCTTCACTATGGAACACATTCTAGCGCAAGCGTAGAGACGGAATAGGTTCGTCCTTACTGACTGAAAAGGCTTTTCATGTTCAAATGTTCCCAAGTCACAGCATTTGGATCCGTGCACACATGTACACGTACTATTTTGTTGCAGATACTATAATAGATCTCGATATGAGACATCCAGAGATCGCAGTTTACAACATTTAAAGACAATTATCGCGATCAAGTATTGCGGGCAATTGTACTCTGTCATGCACCAGTATTCCATAGTTAGCTTCTCAGTAGAAAAAGAAGCAGAAAAATCTTCGGGAACACCTTGAACCCAAACCTACCTTTAGCAGTGGGGGCGGGGCCTGGACGAGTGTGCCGGGCGTGGCTGCCAGAATTCGATGCGGCAGCCGCAATTGCGTCCCAACTTTCGAAATAGGATACTTTCGAACGTAAGGCAGCGTTCATACTTGTAGCGCTACAGCGCCGCTTCGCAACGTACTGCAATTTCCAACGATGGGATGATTAGAGTTGCTTACAGAGAAAATTGGGAAGGTTGCTGGAGTTTTCTTGAGAAATTGACAAGAAAAAAAAAGAAAGAAAATGACAACAAACCCCACTTGACAACAAATCTCCCTACCATTGGAAAAGCAAGCACTACATTCCATAAGCAAAAAAAACTCTAATGGTTCCGCACTTTCACACATGTTTACAAGCCTGACCGAAGTAAGACCTTTAGCTGAGCTATGAGCCAACTTTGGCAAAATGCCAGTGGGACCGCGGGCTTAAAGGGACGCGCGGGCTTTAAAGGGACGGATGCAGTTCGGGACCAGACGCCTCGTCCACCTACCGTCTCCGTGAGCCTAGCGAGCCTTGTCGAAATTGCGATAACTTCCTCATCGCGCGCCATTGATGGATAAAAGCGGGATCATCTTCATCAAGGCGCAGAGGGTTCCAGAAGGCGCGAAGTCATTTTGAAGGCCTCTCGAGCGCGGATACTGTCTTTAACAATTCTGGAAGATCAGTTAGATCAACCGAACTTGGGTTTGCGTCCGAGATTACTTTTTAGCTCATGGAAGCGGCGTTCCCCGCGTTCTACACCACTTCGCATGCTTTGTTAGACAAGCAGACGAACAAAGAGTAACCCCGCGATAGTGCATTGTCGATAGAAGCGCTCAATTACCAACCTATAGTCGCTAAATTACTATCCACAGTAGAAAAAACCAAACCAAAAAAATATGGAGAACACCCTAAGCAAGGATCTGGCAGGCTTCCCAGGCGAGCTCGTCCGGATCGGCTCGTGTTATGAGAGCGAGGCGATATACTGCAGCCTATGGCTCACTAATTGTTTTTTGGGTCTAATATTATCTGGCAGCGAAAAAAAAAGAAAAAAAGGGTTTGGAAAATGAACTCGTTACAGAAAATAGCCTTCAATTTTGGTGGGTGAAGCGGCCATGAAGAAGTCAGAACTGCACTTATGAGGACCGCAGCGCCTTGGTCACTGTCTGTGAAGCGACGAAAGTGCTAGAGTCTCAGAATTGTGCCAGACTACTTGTACAAGGGAGGACGCTTACAAAATGCTCGAGCAGGGGGACTGTCTTTAGGAACGAATGAAATGACTGTGAGTCGCGTGCTCTAAAGATTGCTTGAACCCCATGAATGTTCCGCTTATGATGCATCGATACAGAATTGAATAGAGCATTGCCTCAGCAATGGTTTTTCTTTCCACTGATGGCGTTTGACCTACGCCGAGATATGCGCCGGATTGGAATTTGTGCTCAAAAACCACAAGAACTTTTCACGCTCTAGACAGAAAGTACGGGTAATTCCAGGACAGAGTAATTTATAAAAAAAGCAATATTGAAAGCTGTTGTAAGTTACCTTTCGTAATGGTGTGGGCATAGGGCATATCGGCCTCGCATCGTAGTTGTTTTTCCACTAAACAACCATCATTACTTTTTTTAACGGGGCATCACCAATGAAATCGTTAGCTCGAGAAAGTGAAAAAAAAATGAAACAAAAGCAAAAGCAAATCGAAGCAAGTTTATTCCTGGATGTTCAAAACAAGTGCGATTGAATTTCTCCGAACATTCTGCTCTTGAAAGTCCCCTTTTTCATGCTATCCCTACAACATATCGCGCTATGTTTGTTAGTTTGTTTGATTTTGCTTACTACCAACTATCAGAACCACAATATCTCACAAACTATGCCAATAAATCACGTCTATAACATTCGTTTTGAGCGCCGGCGCGGGGGTCACTTCCTTTTTCAGCAAATCGGTGTAAACTTGCACTGACCATTTGATGTCCTGATTACGATATCCGTTTCATCGCTGGCACCATTTGACGTCACCCACTTACTCATCAAAATCCGTGAAAACGTACATGCTGGGAGCACCTGACACCGTGATTATGGATATAACATTTCTTTTTAGTGCCCCGCTAATCAGCGCGGTTACGGCGCCGGCGCTAACTTGGTGTACAAGTATTTCCCCACCAACCACTTATGGGTAATTTGGGGCTCTGCTCAAGAACATAAGATCCATTTATGAGCGCCAACATATTTAGCCCTTACCAAAACTAGGCTCTGCCAAGGCTAGGAGCCTGTGGAGAGGAGAAGTGGTTTTCTTCCCACAAACTTAAGGTTAGCAAGGAGCTTATAATTGGAGCGCCCCATTTCAGCATTCAGCGTTAATAGCGGTTGTCATGTCTTGAGAGCTAAGAAAAAAGGTTTCATATGTGAAGTTTAAGCGAAAAAAAATCGGGTTCTTGGGGTTATAACCTTTGAGTGCCATTTGTTCTGACCAGAAAGATAACCGTCTCCCCAAGGCTACAGACTGTGAACCCCATCTTATGCTTCAGGTTCTTCAGTTCGAAGCCGCCGACGCTAATAACCTCCGCGGTGAGTAAAGAACTCCTTCCTCTTTCGGTGGTTTTCTTCCTGCAGGGTAAGTTCTTGTAAAAGTCAAGAGTCAAATGACCTTTTCGAGGTTATCAGCGGAGCCACCAGTATGGGTATTCCACACTGTAAGGTAAGACGATTAGGATCAATACGGAATTCCGCGCCCTTGAGCAAGCGCTAAGCAGCACCTTTTCCAAGGGTGGCACCCCTATAAGGCCCTATCAAGCTGGAACACACCAAGCCAGACGCCACGCACGGCCCGCCCGCCCACGAATGGACGTGCGTACCTGATGCTCGTACTGCTTCATTTGCGAAGTAAAATATGGAGCGAAGGGATTGAAATGAAGGGGCTGCGGTGCTCATGATATGTGGGTACATACACGCAGCCTTACTACCGTAGGTCCATTGGCAAGATGCTACGGGAAACTCGTCCAAAATTGCTTTTTGAGTCGTCAAGAACGAAGGCTTTTCTTCGCATGCTTTTGACCGTTTCACATCGTTTTTTCGCCATTTTCTCTCTATCTAGCACACTGCTTTCTAGATCAAGTACCAATTTATCGTGCCATAGCCTTTAAGGTGCAGCACTTATATGTGAACCAGAATCTCGCAGCGAAAACAGACAATGGTAGAGATCGAGGAGTTCAAAACAGCAGTTAGTTATACTAGCCTCAAGTCCTATCCCAATGTACTTTTGAACAGTGAAAGAGGGCACGCCATTACAGCTGCGAACCCATTTATCAATGCAACTGCCAAGATCCTCGAGTGAATGTACAAAGTGTATTCAAAAGTTTTCCGAACGAAATCATTTCTTATCGTTAGTCTTTAAGATGTTCGAAAAGAAACAAACCTCAGTGAGTTCGTCTACAACATCATCTTCTTCCTGCCAGCTATGATTCTGATCTGGAGTGACTCGCAAATTTTGCTGTAATTTTTATACAATAAAATCACAGCAAGAAGGCCTAGTTCCTTGACACTCACAGCAAGAAGGCCTAGTTCCTTGACACTCACAGAAACATCTGAAGACTTTTCCATTTCGTATGGTCCTTGCTCATCAGAAGTTTCATAAACACTCTCTTCATCAAGCTGCATATAAAGATCATGCTGGAAAAATTGTTTGAATGAAGTATAAGCTCAAAATATCATCATTTCATACTTCCTGCTGAATATCGTCGCAAGATGATTGCGCCAGCTCCTCAACTGTGTCACCGGTCCCATCACCTTCCTCGCTTTCCAAGTTCTCTAGAGCAGTAATGTATCCATCCAAGTCACCTTCCTAAAACAAGGAGTTTCAACCTCAACCACACCAATTTCATGACCTTCTAGGCCGTTTTTATACAATTACTCCGAAGTGTCGAACAGTTCCCAGAAAATGAATAAAAGGATGAACAATGAAGTTAGTTGCAGTAACACAGAACTGTTAAAAGTGCGAAACCAGGAGAACCGGAGTACTGCGCGAAAACTATAATTAATATCAGCCAGGCGGAGGTGGTGTAGTGACAAGTGGCGCGCTTACCACTCGCGCGGCGCCGGGTTCAAATCCCGGGTCGACTCCCCCAGGCCAACCAAGCCTTCTACCCTCCGGGGACGGTAAATTGGTACCAGATTCGTCTGGGAGGATAAAACACTGACTTGTACATCGGCTGGCCACCGCAAGTCATTGTATAGGCCACATCGCATTCAATAAGCCACTACGATTCTGAATGGAAGTAGAATGCGTGCCGCATCCCACAAAGGGATTGATCAACGGCGAAGACTTTATCCTTTCGAAGTATTCTCCAGCTTCTCTCTTCTTGCAACCTCGGCATCTTAGTTGTAAGTCTTTCAGTTGTTCTGTGCCTTACGAGGTTGATAGGTGGAACATTTATTAAGTGGCCTAACGTTTCGATTCAATCGTCGTCTTTAATCGTCTTTTTTCTCTACTAACAGCGCTCTGGTGTGGCTGCGGACCTATCCGCCCAAACGGTGGAACAACTGGCCTCTGAAGACGACGACTGAGTCGAAACGTTAGGCCACTCAATGAATGCTGCTTTTACCCTCTCAGATCAACACCTGGGGTTCGAATTTTGCCCATAACTAACACTAACATTATTGTGATGACTTTTGGAACGCGAACTGCGGGTGAAACAGCATTTATCACAACAAAATGACTGGGTAAGGGCCCTGGTGGCGTGAAATTCTCATTGCCGATATCTAACAATTACGGCTGACCGGCTCACCATGTTAAACGTGTGAGTGCTGTAAGGCTACGGCATAAAAGCCGTTAAGCTGAGAGGGTAAAAGCCCTGGTGGCGTAACGGATAGCGCACTCGCCCGGAAAGCGTGAGGTGCGGGTTCGACTCCCGCCTGGGGTTCGACTTTTGCCCATAACTCAGCATTCTTGTGATAACTTTCGGAACGCGAACTGCGGCGTAAAACAGCAGTTATCATAACAAAACGACTTCACTGACTTGTAGTCTTTGTCGTCTTCACTTCGGCAGGTTTCTCTTCTCATCGTCGGCTCACAACTTTCTCCCCAGGCATTTTCTAGCTCGACCCTTGATCCAGCCTTTACCTATTTCACCCATCTAATGCGTTCCATTCACTTAAGAGTTCTAATTGAAACTGCTTCTCGTGAATTCCATGGGAAGCATGTTCACCACTCGCACGCTGTCACTTACTCTGTGCCCGCATTCACTTATGCCGTTCTTAGCACGCCTTCAACACGCAGTTCACCTTCTTATCATTACATGTTAGTCTGAAGCTTTGCCTTCCTTTCCTCTCCTCAGTTCAAAGGCATATGGCACGATTATTTCCTACTCGTCCTAAAATGCTGTATAGCGGTCACGTACGTGGGAAGAACAACCCTCGTTCCTAAGGTCGCGTTCATAGCTTGCGACCGTGAAAAAATGCAGAAATGCGGAAAGTGCATTTCTGCAGTTTCCGCATTTCTGCATTTCTTCAAATCGATATGTATACAATGTTTTTCGTCATTTCCGCAGATTCCGCATTTCTTCATTTCTGCATTTCTTCATGGTCAAGCTATGAACGCGGCCTAATGTCTCAAAGAGCAATTTCATACGAGTTCCCCATGGGCATCTTGCCAATAACTGCTACGTCAAATGAAGCAACACGAGCATAAG